GCTCAATAGCTCTAGCAAAAATAGAAAGTTGAGAGATGAAATTTAAAACGTGTTTTTCAAGATGGCGGCCATATTGGATATTGCATCGACCCGAAAAATTACATTTGGTCAAGACCATCTCAGGATCATTACATGCAAATTTCAGTTTAATGCTACTGGTGGAAAAAGTAAAAAAGTTTAAAACAGGTGCTATTCAGGGAAACCATTATTGCGCAATCATGCTACAAAATATTGCTGTCATGTCAAACTTCTGACGAGTCTGAAAAGTCACAATACTTTAACGGCCTACCTGTCTTAGAATCCTTACCATGACACTTTGTCGCCTTCTTTTCCTTAACATTACAAAGTTTTCAACTCAATAACACTGGTGGAACATGAGTAGTTTAATTTTTTTTTTCAAGATGGCGGCGATAGGAAGCTATATATGCTTTATGAATGGCCTGAAAAATGACACAAGGTCATCACCATCTCATTATCATATCAGTATAGCTTCAGTTAAAACTCACTGACAGAACTTGTGTAGAGATTAAAAATATGTATTAATCAGGGAAACTATAATTGAGCAATCATATTACGAAAAGGGCGCTGTGGCTGCCATATCAAACTTCCAACCAGGCTGGAAATTAGAAAAACTTTATCGCCTTCATTTTCTTAACAACCACATCAGTTTTCAAGTCAGTGGTGGAATCAAAAGTTAGAAATGTTTTTTTTAGAATGGCACACATGGTATCCATATTGGATTTTGAATCCACCCCAAAAATAACAACACCTGGTCAGAACTAAAATAGATGCTGTTCTGGGAAACCATGATTGCGCTATAATGCTACAAAAATGGCCACGTCTGCCATTACACTGGACCTTGAACGAGGCCAAAAATAAAAACACTGGATCAGCATCATCTCGGGATAATTGCTGGCAAGTTTCAGCTCAAACTCACATGTAGAAATATGTAATAGGTGTTGTTCAGGGAAACCATGATTGCCCAATAAGGCTACAATATGGCTGCTCTGGCTTCAATATCAATTTTCCGAAAAGGCAAAAAAAATAACACTTTGTCACCCTCCTTCCGTCACACTCTCATAAATTTTCCCTGCTTAATAGCACAAGTGGAACATGACAAAAAGTTTAAAATGTGTTTTTCAAGATGGCGGCCATGGCAGCTATATTTGATTTAAGACCAACCTAAAAAATAACACTTGGTCAGGACCATCAGACGATCATTCTGGGCAAGTATCATTGTAATCTCACTGATGACATTTGAGAAGAGGTTCAAAATTAATTAAGATGATCTAAACTAGTACTCTCGTGTCAGGGACCAAACGCATAACACCCCAACACCCCACCCCCATGTAAACTTGCAAACATGTATGTAGATGCATTTCTGAGTTTGGTTTAAAGTAATTGTTTAAGGCTGGATTACCTCCCTTTGTACAATTTCTCTCCAGTGGTAACTGCAAATCCTATGGCAGCTGTGCACAAAGAAGCAAATATATTTAAGAATTGTATTATTGACCTAGAGTTCATACACATGATTTAAGTTCAATAAGCATCATCGATACTACACATTTTACATATGGCACGCATGTGCAAGATGTCCTACGAAATATATTCAGTAAAATCATGCATTGCTGATCAGTTTCTAAGTCTGTAGTTTGAAGTCAATGTATTGACATATGAGACGAAAAATGGAAGAGGTGTCGGAGTGTTGGACTGTTGATATATATGGACATTTACAGCCATTCTATTCTGGATTCTATTAAATGAAAATTACTAATCACTTCAAAGGTTAATCATAAAAAGTAAAATAAAAAATCTAACCAAGGGCCAGAAACTAAAGAAAGTGTCAAAGTCTACAAATAAGTCCAACAACTGTAACACCAGTGAAACAAGAGAATCTCCTGTAAACTGCACATTCAGTGCAAAAAAAAGGTTTGATGTGATAATGTGGCTGATGTAAAACTGCATTTATGAGTTTAGTGGAATCATTTTGTACTTTGGTGTCTCTTATTTTAAAAACTAAAATAACTTTGTTAAACCTATTGCAGCCATGGATTCCACTGGATTTGTGTATGACTTAAGCCTACGTCTACCAGTTTAAAATTTAGCATTGGTAACATTCAGTCTGATCTAGATCCAGACTATAAAGCGTACATACTAGCTGAATCCTTGTGCAAAATACAGTCTGAGGAGAAAAGGGTTACACTTCTTGGAAATATCAATGTTACAACGAAAAATGTCCACAGAGCTATCAACTCCTGTAAGGACTGACAGGTTTATAAAATGAACATTATTCATAAACCATGAATGAACTGGTCATATTTACTATATACATAGACTTTTAGTTTAAACTTACATCAACTGATATTATCCTACAATACACATGGAATCAATGTGGTGTGGGCTTTATATACACCGATATATTGTACATGAAAACGTCAAAATAACTTGAAAAGATACGAATCTGACTTTCTTCCCAGCATGGAGACACGTGGTATGTATATAGTTAGAATAAATGACTACCGGACCAATTGTTTATGAAATATCATATAAAATCATATCTTTATGAGTAAATTTAGTAACGAATCAGCAGGCTTGTTGGAATTTTTCACATAATAGTTCGGCAGCTGTATTTAGAGATGTTATCATAGTTTGAGCATTCTTTTTATTTTTTTAACAACCAGGAAGTTTTTTTTCTTAATTTTTGATTTCCCACTCTCTTATTTTGGTAGTGACATTTTTGGAAAGTATAGCAATAAAACCCAATGTTGAAATAATATTCTAGTTATGACAGAGAAATCATATCCTATTTGTGACAAAGAATCATATCCTAGTTGCTGCGACAGAAATAATATACTATTTGTGACAGAGAATCATAGCATGGTTGTGACTGACAACTCACACCTAGTTGCGACAGAAGTCATATCCTATTTGTGACAGAATTACACGCTTATTGTGACAGAGAAATCATATCGTTGTTGTGACACAGAATCATATCCTATTTGTGACGAAAACATTCCCTTGTTGTGACAGTTACTCATACATAGTTGTCAAGGAGAAATCATATCTAAATCGTGTCAGAAATCACACCCTTGATGTGACAGAGAAATCACACCCTTGATGTGACAGAGAAATCACACCCTTGATGTGACAGAGAAATCACACCCTTGCTGTGACAGAGAAATCACACCCTTGATGTGACAGAGAAATCACACCCTTGCTGTGACAGAGAAATCACACCCTTGATGTGACAGAGAAATCACACCCTTGATGTGACAGAGAAATCACACCCTTGCTGTGACAGAGAAATCACCCCATTGCTGTGATTGAGAAATCATATCCTATATCTGACAGAAATCACACCCTTGTTAAGATAGAGAAATCATATCTTACTTGTTACAGAAAAATCAAACGCTGATTGATGATAGAAGACAAAGTCTTTAATGTTTATTCATGCACTTTAAAGGCATCCATATAACATTTTGAAAATCACTTAACAACACTGGGAGCAGACTCTTCAAAGCGTCAAAATCAGTAAATGCTGAAATACAAACATACCTTTACACACTACTCTCATGCGAAAAAAGCTGATTCTTCTTCCTCGACCTCTTATAACAATGCTGATAATATAAATATATTTTACACGGTTTTATTGGGGTTTTACGTGTAGATGTTATTTTTATCAGATAAATGTCATTTTCGTAGTAGAATTCCTTTCAATGGAAAAATATTATCTATTTACGGTAATAAACGTTTATAGAAAGCTATTGTACTAAATTACACAGCTGCTGACATTTCGAATCAGTTTTGTATCGGAGCTATATCATTGTTAATTAGTACCGGTATTTTCTTACCTTGTCATATTATTGATAATACAAGAGGTTTCTACCTCCATAAACATATTAAAATCAATTAAATCAGCGTCATATTAAAAAATTGGGTGTTACAACTCACTGCTGTAGTGTCATTGTGTTCATTCGATCACATGTATTTGATAGTCAAATAACAGTAGACCGTATAAGATTACTTGTCTGATATACAAACTCAAGAGGGTATTATGCAACACAAACACGTACAAAAGGTACTGTGTACAGTTAGCATGTGTATAACCTATACACCATTACTGTCTACAATTCACATGTAATACAAAACACCTACACACGTATAACAGTACTGTGTACAAATTAGCATGTATATAACCTCTACACCATTACTGTCAACAATTCACATGTAATACAAAACACATACACTCGTATAACAGTACTGTGTACAAGTTAGCATGTATATAACCTCTACACCATTACTGTCTACAATTCACATGTAATACAAAACACATACACACGTATAACAGTACTGTGTACAAGTTAGCATGTATATAACCTCTACACCATTACTGTCTACAATTCACATGTAATACAAAACACATACACACGTATAACAGTACTGTGTACAGTTAGCATAAAATACAGTTTCCATACACAAATATTATCTACAATTCAAATAATATATAAAACACATAAACACTTACACTAATGTGTATAATTTACATGTAATAATATACCCATACACAAAAGCTGTCTGCGATTCATGTAATATATAATAACATACACCAATATTGTCTACATTTCATATGTAGTTCAAACACATAAATGCGTAGAAAAATTCAGTGTAAAGTTAGCATGTAATACATTACTCAAAGACCTGCGTCGTTTTTTGTGTCTTCCACTTTCAAATTCTTTTCTAAAGTGTTGTATTATAGTTATTATGTGGTTAAAGATGCTATTTTAATGCAAACAAAAATTAAAAAATAAGAGCTTTGGCTCTGGTTTTCTCAAACATATTCACTTTTCATTTGATACATAAACATACCGACAGTTATCTGTAGGAGAAAAAAATACTAATACGGACGATATAGTTGTCATTTGTCCTAGCACACAAGAAAATCACGACGTCTAAATGAATTCAGCATAAAAGTTCATAAAATTTCCGTGTACAACGCTGGTTCAGATAAATTGATACACTGCAATATTACCACCGGCTCCTCCGATAACCAAGAAACCGTCTGAATGGTAGTCAATGCAGCAGGGTTTTGTTATTTCCGGCTCCGTTGACCATCCTCCAAGGTATTTGGCGCCATCTTGGAGGATCACTACCTTGCTGGATTGTTTGTTTACCATGAGCACCCTATCATTCTGTAGACAATGCGCATCGGCCAACCAGCTGGTTTGGTTCCGTTGAACACTCCTCATTTTTTTACCCTCGTAATTAAATATCACAGCTTCAGATCTTCGTTTGTCTGATACGACTAATATTCTATCGTTACAAGACACTGCCATTGGTTGTAAGGCTGCTTCTAGCCGAATTGTTCCTTGGCGCTTTCCCTTGCTATCATATCTTCTGACCTCGTCCCCGTCCGTCCCAAACAGGAGTATTTCTAAGGAAGTGGATGCAATGTAACGGAATGCATCGGCCTTGCATTTGATCAGTCCAACTCTCGTGTCGTTTTGATAGATCAACACGCCGTCAGACACTGCTATCGCAATTTTGCCTTCCACCACAGATAAACCAATTGGTGTTACTTTGATATCTATGAACCAATCGGTTTCCCCATTTCTAGTAAACACCTTTAGCTGTTTGTTCTCCGCGTCACACACAGCAATTCGCTGACTGGTAATCCATGCCACACCAGTTGGCTCCGGGACGAATTCGCTTCCGTATCCAATGTAACAGTTAAATGTCTTTATCAGACGATATTTCCCTCCGTTGACATAAGGTTGCGTCAGAGAGTGAAAATTCGGAGCTGACGGATGCTCGGTGACGAGAAGACTCCTTGGTGAATCTTCGTTACCGCCAATTTCAGATGCTGTCATTTCCATACAAGGAATTCTGTTCTCAGTGAAGACTTCTTGCTCCAATGTGCTTTGCACCGACTTTTCCTTTATCAGCTGTTCTATTGTTTCTGACATAGACACTTCAACCTTTGTCCAGTGTAGATCTCTCCGCAAGTTAGCATGTGTGATCGGGGTTTGTAGACGATCTTCAAAGCTTTCACGAAAGTACAGAATCTCCTCATCTCGCCCATTTTCTAAGAGATCTTTGCAAAGTTCTAATGGTTCCTTAAGTGTTTGGATATCTTCATCGATAAGTGTTTTGCGTTCTCCAAGACTTCTCCTCGACTCTTCAGATATCACTCGAACCGTTTTCTCAGTCTCGTTCATTTTCTGATCAATAGCGTCTTTCAGGGTTTTACAAAATGTTTTCAAAGACGCAATTTGGCTAATTTCCGATTTATCTATTTCTGACAGTAAATCGGTAATGAAGTTCTTATTTTCCTCATATATCTTCATTTGAGCCTGTGCTTTACTTATTTTTTGTTCCATATCTGTACGTCTAATCTTCATTGCATCAGCAGGTGAACGATATGTATGGTCCCTGTGTTTTAACAAGACGCAATCAAGGCAAACTAGTTGTGAACATGTCTCACAAAAGAATCTGACTTTTTCATTGTCATGATCGAGGCAAGGAATATCAGTTTTTTTGCGGATCACTTGATCATAAACACCACTCATAAGCTGCTCAATCGATATAGTTTGATGGTCAAAAGTTACTCGTGTACCCTGATGATTTTGTTTACATGCTTCACATAGATAGTCCATACACGTAATGCATATCCACCTACAAGCGGATATCACGTTCTTCATTTCACAAAATGTGCAGCTCTTTGTGCTTTTCTTTTTCGTGTTAATAACTTCAGATAAACTGTTTATGTAAAAGTTAGATTTAATATTTGCCGGTTGGCAGCCCGGTACTTCAAACGTCGCCCTGCAAAGAGGACATAATGCCTTGCATCCTTTCCGTGTTTTGTCAAAGTGACTGCTTATACAGCTGAGACAAAAGGTATGTAAGCAAGGAAGAACCTTTGGATCAACGTAGAACTCTAGGCAAATCTTACAGGTAAGAAATTCTTCTTCGATTGTTAACGACAACTCCGCCATACTGCTGTTGATGCGATCTGGAAAAAAAATCAGTGTCACCGTGGCTTCTCATATTATATTTAAACATTCCCCTTTATGAGTATACTTACTGAATTGGTACAGGTTAATAAAGCATCTATTAGTAGATTTGATCTGTCATTTGTCATGATGTGTCCAGAACACGAACACAATATTTCAAGTTAGTTTATCAAAATCAAAAGGTGCAATATATTAAAGTACTTACATTACGGTGTAAAGCAAGTCAGAACACATAAATACATGCTTGTGAAGAAATATATTCCTAATATTGATCAGGTAGTTTTATACCAGACTAAAAGGTATAATACAATACAACATACTCGTGTTCTGGTCTATTAGCTCCTTTATATCAGACACAAATTGGAATATCTGATCTATTTTAGACATCGATTGTTCTTCAGAAATATTACTCGTGCTATTAACACGAGAATACATCATACCACATATGTATGACCTCAGGTAACTGATATCGCTTACACATTTATCTGAATCGTGGAATATGTTTGCTTTACAAACAGTTAGTGATATAACGTATCGACAACATGTCGTTACATGCAGGTATACATGTGCAACCGGAGCACACATGACAGTTTGATTGTCTACTACAAATGAATCATTAAGAACTCTACATATATGCAATGCGACATTAATGAATAATGTGAGTTGGAAATATAATATATATATATGCATTACATAAGTAATCAAGTCTCGGTGTTTTTGTGAGACAGTGTAAAAAGCTCAACAACAAGCACATACAACTCATGAGCGAAAATAACTCCAGCAAATAATGAACACAGAAGATAACTGAAACACTGCCGTCCTCGATCCGAAGTATCAACTTACCAGTTTTAGTTACTATGTGCCTGTGATATGTTCCTGGTACTACTGTGGTTGCAGCCCATTATCTAAAGGAAAAACCACGTGACATGGATATGCACCGATAAGAGTAATCGCAAACATGTTTGTTGTAGATAATTTCCGATGCATGGAGTACTTGTGTTACTCGGGCATTATCGGATGTTATAGAGAGTCAAAGGTAAGCCAGTTACAGGCGGGTTTGAAACTGTGACTTTGTCACATATCATTCCTGTTTATGCTCCCGAATCGAAAGATCGAGGGCGTATTTCTTTTAATGCTGTCTGTGTGTCTGTTGTCAACATTAACCTCGCCCATAACTATTGCATCATAAAAGGTAGGGTTTTCATATTTAGCATGTGTATTGCTTGTGACAAGACCTTTCTGGTGGTATCAAGAATTTTTACCATGTGGTCTTGACCGTGACCTTTACCTACATTTGAAAGTAAAATAATTATTACCACAGTGAAGACATCAGTATTTCACAAAGCCTTATACAGTACATGTTAAACTTCATTGTTTTGTTAAAACCGGGGGCATAGTGTTTCATAAAAACATCTGAAATGTATGTCATATTTTCCTATGTTACTTCAATTTACATATGTTATCGTCAGTTATTATGTCGTTGCAATTTAAAACGAGATAAAATACTACATTGCAAGTGTTAATGGCATGTGTTTAGTTACAACAGGTACTTGCTGTGGTGTCGAGTTGATACTTAAGTAGGTCTTATTGAGTCCGACATGTAACACGCTTCGTGAAATATATTTACGTGACGTCATACAGTGTGTCATAAAAGAAGTCTTGACGAATATGACATCTAAGGATAAACTGTGCTTCATTCGATATTGATGGCTTTAAAAAACGCAAAAATATCATTGTTCATTGATTTTTTAATCATTTTTTATTCTTGCTTTTAGGCTGGAAGTCATATCAGATTTTAAACTCGACACAACAACAATAGTGCATTACATGGCATGGCGTCGGACGGGAAAATCAATGAATTAGAGTGTAAAATTTGTAAAAAATATCTTTAAAAATCCTCACATATTACCATGCTTACACACGTTTTGCCATGACTGTATTACCATGAAAACACAAGACAGCAACGGCCGATTCAGTTGTTTCATTTGTCATGCCGTCTTTGGTTCTGACGACGAGAGAAGGTCTGTACTTAATAGAAATACCTACATATCCAGACTTGTGGAACTGCATCTATTGAAGACAGATAAACATATTTGTATCGTGTGTCGGTTCAGAGATGTTAAGAAAAATGCCACACATTATTGCGTAGATTGTGGTGACATGTTGTGTAACAAGTGCGCGGAGCATCATACCTTCACAAGATTGACGTTTAACCATCAAGTTATCAAAAGAAAAGACTTAAAGGCAGGCAAGAACGACGACATTATACTAAAAAATCGCCTCTTTACCTGTGGTGACCATCCTGATACACAGATACAGTATTTCTGTAGATCATGCCCAATGCCGGTTTGTGAGCAGTGTTTAGTAAGTCACGGAAATGATCACAAGATTATAACAAAACAAGAAGCTCTTAAGACTTCGAAAAGAAAAGACATCGATCGGATGTTCACTGAACTTCAACCCTGTCTACGCCAAGCAATGACCGTACAACAGTTCGTTGAAAATGGTATCCAAGAGATCGAGAAGAAAGAGGTAGAAATTCCGAAAAAGGTTCAAAGTCTTTGTGACAAGCTAAAAACTGTCATAGATCAGAAGGGAAAAGAAGCAAAGGAAATGGCGTCATCAGAACTTGCAGACATTAAACAAAAACTGACAACACAAAAAGTAGAAGTAGCTGCTTATTTGGAAAAGATCGAGCCATCACTGGAGCTATGTGAAACCCTCATTTGTGGTGCTAATGCATTACATATATTACCTATTGAAGATTTGCTTCTCAAGAAGCTTTCATCTTTAACAGCCATCGATCGCCCATCCGATTGTCTAGAGACACAGTCGCTGGATGTAAAATTCCAAACTTCTCTAATGGATTCAATTTGTCTTGCAAATTTGACAAGCATCGAATTTCGACAAATCATCGAGGAAGACGTAACTGAAACGAACCCTGTTCCTTCTCCTCCGGAGATTAATCAGAGTAAATCAGACGAACAAAAGAAGCCAATACTTGTCAAATGCAGCGACCAATCTCAAAATAGTAGCAAAACGACACAGCCTAAGATAACAACGCATGCAAAATCGAATAAATCTAAGGACACCAAAACTAAGCAATTTACAAGCGGAAAGAAACAGGCTGGACTGGATGCTTCTAGATATGAGGATAAAAAAGAGGTGCTTCATTCACAAAATAAAACAAGTATCCAAACCCTTGCGGCAAATGTGAAACCATTGACAATCACTACAGAAAACGATCTGAGCAAGTCTAATGTAAAAAAGGAGGAAGATGTCAAGCTGAATCCCAGTGATAAGATAATTGCATCTGGATCAGCAATTGTCAATAGATACCAACAGATTCGATGTTTCTCACTGGATACTCCTGCCGACACTCTTAAACCTATGGTGACGTCAGTGGCATGGGTAAATAGTAATTCTTTTGTAGTCAGTGACCGGGATAACAACAAAATTAGTGTTTTTAACATAGATGGGACTGTTGAGTGGAGTGCACCAGTAGATAGTCCTCTGAATGTTGCCTGTGCTAAAGACGTAGTTGCATGTTCTAGACGAGGCTATATTACATTATTCAGAAACAAAACACGAATTAAAGATATTCATATAGGCAGTAATAACATCACACCTCTTTTAACGGGAACAGTCGACGAAACCTTCCTAGGTACAACATCTCATGGCCGAAATAGCATGGCAACGTTTACTACAAGTGGACAAAGAGGAACAGCTATCCAGGTTGATGGATGTAACGTCAACTTGATATCTAGTAATAACCAATGGCATATTATCTCGGACTGGTCCATGAACAGTCTTTTATTCATTGACAAAACATCTGGACAGATATGCAAAGAAACCTGTTTACCTGAACCAAGAAAGTGGGGTCACCACGGGGGTCACTGCACAGATGAGAATTGTGTGTTGGTGGCAGACTATCATGGAAATAAAGTAATCGTCTTGTCAAACGACGGCAAGTATCTACATAGCTGGTCTCTACCGTCGGCAATCTACCATCCATGTGATCTAGATTTTCATAGTAGTGGACAATTAATTGTTACATCTAATAAGCAAGTGGCAATCTTCACGACAAACATGAAAAAGCAGAATAAGAAGCTGTAAAAAAGACAAATTGCCGTAAAATATCTGATCAAATGCAGTATTTTATCAGTGTACAATCCTAGTCCGAATGACGTAAAATACTGGTATATCAAAACTGAAAATGTAAGTTTATGTTGACGCGGTCAAACACAATATATATGATTTTGTAATCTTTGCTGGCAACAACTAACAATAAATCGAGATATTTGGATATACATGTTTACGTAAGAGTATATTCGTTTTCTTATACCAAAAGCGCCATAAATTAACAGAAAGATATCAAGGACATGAATACACTGTCGTGGTGTTGTGCGTTTTCATTTGTTTCATATGAGAGTTGACGCCACAGAAATGTGTTTTAAACTGAAGGTCCAGTGTTTGATGCATAGCAAAACAACACATGATTTTTGATTATTTTATCTAAAAGAACTTCTTGGCAATGTTTCTCTAAATTTACTGTGAAGATTTACCTGGGTGAAAACTTTAACGATTTACTGCAAAAACACCTAACTCTGAGTGCGTGACATGATACAAAAATATGCTCCCAACCCACACACAGCACATGAGTGACGATGTTTAGCAGAAAGATATTCTGTTGATTATTAAGACAATCTATCGGTTAACAATCGATTAGTAGTTTCAATACCTATATTTTATTGAAATAAACTTAAAACTGCACAATATGTGTAAGAGAGGAGAAAAAGAGACCTTTTAGGGCTAAAATATGTTCATATTATATAGTCTGAGGCTTATCTCTACCTTAAAACATATCCGACTTTTATGTTTATGAAGGACAACTTTATCTTTAACTTTTTTTTAACTTTTATCTTTGACTATAGACTTCTTTTTTAAACTCCCTGGACAGCTTTGTCTGTTTACACTAAACTATTTCATCAAAGATAACACAGCTAAAGGTAATATCATAGCAGGGCGTACAGATGTGTTAAGTCAGATAAAATATGACTGCCTATTAAAACAAGGACAATGGATGATATAACAACTTTGTTTGAATCAACTTCAGGCGGTTATGTTATTTTCATAAACAAATGTATCACCATATCTCTCTCTGTCTTAATTGAGGTTTTGGACTGTCAATAAATGAAAAAGCAACAGCGGCGTCCCTTTCAAATTTTCTGTCTGGTGTGGATCTCAAGACTGTAACTTGCATTTATGCTGACAAATTAACGTTCAACTATTTTAATTTTTTTTATAAGTTCACAAATTATGTCGGTGAATTAGACAACGAATTTTAATACTATCATTCTTTGTCCTATTCACGTTGTTGTTAATCAAAGTCTCTATCATTTTGAAGGTACAGTCGAATCTCGATAATCCGGACACATTGGTCCCCAGCAGTATTTTTCCGGATTGTGAATCTTCCGGATTGCTGGAAAATGACCTTGATGTCCGTCGAACTTGTCATTACCATCCAGAGGTGTTGATCACGTATGCCGGACTGAGTACGTATGCCTGCACATGGTACATATTCACATCATGTGTGTTGTTTGAGAGATGCATGTTTGTGAAATATTATGTATATTGTGGATATAATTAAACATGTGATAATAAATTATGTTAATTACTAAAGATTTCAAACATTCCTTTGATGAGTTTGGGCATTATGTCAATGAATCTGATTCATCGATTCCCGTCTGTTCTTCCTGTCACGTACACAGGCACTCGAGGCCAGGATATTATTTTTTAAACATTGATTTTTGTTTTAGCACTCATGACTGACGTTATTTAAACGAAATATCAGCAGAATTCAAGTTTATGTGCCGGTTGACAAATCCGAGGTCCACGGTCATTAAAAATACACAAGGCAAGCAACTCCAGATTTTAAAAAATCGACCCCTCGCTTGGAAACTGGCTCAAAAAAAGTAGTTATGATAAGTTCCTTGTAAAACAATATGTATCCGTAGGTAGTGTGTATATTTACCTTTTATTTGGTGCATAACATTACAGGCAACGAGAAATTCACAATACGTACATGAGATTAACATCTCAATAACCGGAGATTTTATCGTCTATGTAATTATCTTTGACGGAAGTAACATGCCATTTCAAGGGCGGTCACTCCGACTTTTTGGGAGAGGAGTTCCGGATAGCACTATACCAGTGAACAGGTAAGAAAGGTTCCGATGTCATTACGCGCGTAACTTCAAAATAGATATTTTTTATTTCTACAAATACATTTGCGGGGATGGAAAAATAATGGCTGGGCAAAGAAAGTCCACATTTGCCAATTCGGATACAATATCATGGTAAGGGATTATACAGAATGCATCAACTTTCAATCAAGCTGGCGGTAATGAGAATTTTTTTTTCAAAAAAAAAATAGAAAAAAATCATGCAGATAATGAAAAAAGGGCGCAATTTATGAAAAATATCGTGGGGGAAATATATTAACTTAGAAATTGGAAATTAAATGATGCATTCTGTATAATCCCTTACCATGATATTGTATCCAAATTGGCAAATGTGGACTTTCTTTGCCCAGCCATTATTTTTCCATCCCCGCAAATGTATTTGTAGAAATAAAAATATCTATTTTGAAGTTACGCGCGTAATGACATCGGAACCTTTCTTACCTGTTCACTGGTATAGTGCTATCCGGAACTCCTCTCCCAAAAAGTCGGAGTGACCGCCCTTGAAATGGCATGTTACTTCCGTCAAAGATAATTACATAGACGATAAAATCTCCGGTTATTGAGATGTTAATCTCATGTACGTATTGTGAATTTCTCGTTGCCTGTAATGTTATGCACCAAATAAAAGGTAAATATACACACTACCTACGGATACATATTGTTTTACAAGGAACTTATCATAACTACTTTTTTTGAGCCAGTTTCCAAGCGAGGGGTCGATTTTTTAAAATCTGGAGTTGCTTGCCTTGTGTATTTTTAATGACCGTGGACCTCGGATTTGTCAACCGGCACATAAACTTGAATTCTGTTGATATTTCGTTTAAATAACGTCAGTCATGAGTGCTAAAACAAAAATCAATGTTTAAAAAATAATATCCTGGCCTCGAGTGCCTGTGGTCACGTAGGGGTTATCGCTCTTGTGGTTTTCTCGGAATTCTAAATTTAGCCTTGGGTAATTTCCACTTTCGTTTCCATACATGGATGCTGGTTATTTCTCGGGTTCGCCGTATTGACTAACAACTAACTGTTTTCTGTCCCGGGAAACTCTCTCTGTCAATACCCTTGCATATGTAGAAGTTTATCAACCGAGTCTATGTTCTCTTCTGTGTTGTGTGTCGTCGTAGTGGTTTGTTCGAAATAAGATAAGCTAAGGCAATGGCGGACTGGGCTTGGGCTATGGTGACTGGTTCGGGCTCTGGGTCTGCTTGGTCGTCGTCTTCGTCGCTGTCGGCGGTAGTGCTGACCTCATCCCTTCGCACTAGGTGTATATGTACAGCTTATTATAGTACAGATATATATATCACTTGATCCACATCCATTCTTTTTATACGTTTTCATTGCATATGTTTGAAATACAAACAAACCTATATATAAACTTAGGTAACAAATCTTTATATACATGCAACATGAGTGTGATAAGTCGACCACGTGTACTTTTAACGCGATAACCAAATAACATTCTGTTTACCATGTTCTGTTAAGGAAGTTTAGGTTTTTTATACTTCATGCTTACAAAATGAAATAATCATCGTTTGGGACTACACTTACCGAATCTATCTTAATGACTTAATGTAACCTTCCTGGTACCATAGCTATTTTTTTTAACTCTTCTGTATATGAATGCTTTTACTCATTAAAATTATTAGACATGGCAGTCATAATCGTCTCTCAATGTATAGAAATGGAAACGTGATATTTCAACAATTATAAATAAAGCAAAATTAGACATGATTCATTGTATGACTTCTATCTCAGTAGTGCAAAGAAAGGTGTTTTACATCTACACCTGAATAATGTTATGTTACGTGTTCTACCCAAGCTATTCTTAATTGTTAGATAACACTTGAAACCTTGCGTTTGCTCTATACATTAATATGTATTTATTTCCAGAAGTATATCATATTTCGCTCATTCCCTTGCGGAATATTTTTTCAAAGTTTTGGAATAAAGACTGAAAATGTAATAAGGGTTAACGAAATCAGAAATAGATAGATATATCATTAAAATCCTTTATGTCTCATGCAAATTCTGATTTAACTGCCAGTCCTTAATCTTCTTTCTTGGATAGAAAACATTCAGTACACCAATGTTATATGAACATTTATTTTCAGACGTCCTCCCCTTTTCACTGTCCGGGTGTAGTCAGTTACCCACCACCGGGAATGATTACTATTTTACCTGTTATACCTTGTTTAAACCTCTCTGAAAAGTGATACATGATATTCTTTTGTTATCAACATTAATACAACTTTAACCGAGCAGATAATTGAAGGCTAACACGAAGTCATTTCTGGTGTGATATTACATAACGCGTATAGCAAACATCCAAATCAGTTAAAATCTATATTGAAGAGTACTACTAAACATGTGAGTGATCGGACGTCTTACCCTTGCATCAGTGGAATATAATGCATGCTTATCGGAATTGTTTTACCAGACTGGCCAGACATGTCCATGTTCTTCTTAATCAGAGTCTCGGTTTTCCATTTGCAAGCAGTAGGCAAAGGTTTATCATAACAGCTGAATTCAGATACCTCGTCATTGATATTTATATTTTACTTACAGTATACAGTTCTTCTAGAAAAAATATTTGATATTATGAAACAACGTCAAAGTGTAAATCGTAAGTAAATATATGATTGCAATGAACTAGTAAACCTATTCCCCAGTACATCGAAGCTGTACTGATATAAGAATAGAATTGCCTATTTTTCTGAAGATCTTTATAAATTACACTCGATTATTTGTACCTAATATATCAGCTGAGAAAATTCATTCCAGTTTACGACTATTTCATTATACACTGACATTGACACTGAAAACAAAATAGTATGGCGGATATGTGAAATGGGCGTGCACTTCCGGAAAGAAGCATGATAATTTGTCCTGGGGGGTTTTGGGTATGCTAATTTCAAAAATTGCGGGAACCACGACCTCACTCCAGCCGTTCCCGCCAAAAATCTGGAAATTCAAAATGGCCGCCACAAAAATTATTTCGTCCATGAAATTCCTCTCAGTGCCCCGATTTCAATGATCTTGATGTTTATACCTATATTTTTGAGGTTTAAGGAATGTAAAAAAAAAAAAACGCAATTCAAGACTTATAAAGTTTTCCTTCATATGTTTATTTTTTTTTAAATGTCATAATCCGTATCAATTAGGTGACAAAATGTCTTTAGGACGTACCATTGTTTGAACAATCCGAACCTGATAATTTAGTTATAGATTGTTTGGTGAAGTATGGGAGAATCTCGCTTAACACAAGAGTTCCTGTCATTAATAGTAATGTCATTTAATAAAAAAAAACTGTCCTGAGCAGAAGCACAGCTGTGTACACGGCACATTTGCTTTGACACACTTGCATCGCCGAGTACATTCCTTATTGCACCCACATTTCAACAGTTCCTGACAAGCTTTGGCTGCCTCTGGAAGGGATGTCCAGCATGGAGTCCATGGGGAATCATCTTTCACTCTCTTCCACCCCCATGATTCTGGTGAAGGAACATCCGGCTCGCCAGTAAGTGTCTGTCCCCAAATATAGCCTGCCTGGTAAACAGCCCTTTTCACGTGCTGTTCAAGAGCATTCAACGTCCGAGGAATGTTTTCCATCTTATGGTTGTGAGTGAACAAGTATTTCCTGGCTTCATTCACATGACTAAGTCCTGATGTTCGCTGGTACAGTAGAACCACGTAACTTTCTATTTGGTCCATGTCGTTGGGTGTTACTTGAGTTGGAGCACAAATGTAGCTGTGAGCTGAGTCATACTGCGCCCTACAACCCAAGCTGTTTTCTTTCCAATCCCGAAGAATGCAGAAACAGTATCACATCCTGATATCGCGTGCATAGACCCCATTATGTATCATTGCCTAGTTCAGCTGAAATTAGGTCACAGGGGATGTATCTCAGTTTAGAACCATGACCGAATGCTACCCACATTTCACAATCGTTTAAGACGCTTGATGCAGCAACTGCGAGAACCACCACATCTGTATCAGTGGCATGTATCATCACTTTGATGAATCCTTGATGGAATGCATGGGAGGCATGAAACAGGAGCCGGGTGTCCGCTTCTTCGTGAGTGCAGGACAAGTCTGAGAGGTCAGCATGAAACAGCGCTCCGGACTTTTGTTGAGATGATTTGTTTTCCTTGGGGGGATTGGAACTCTTTTACAGCATCGGCAAGAAGTTGGAACAGGCTCTCTTTGTTTGAATCACACTAAAGAAAGTTCTTCCAACTAGCAGGAATTTTAGTGTTGTTTGCCACTCGAATTTGGTTACCAGTTCCACGATTCTGTCGTGTTTGTGACTTTAGGCTGTCTTCCTTATAGATATTCCAAACAACATGTAAATGGGCAACATCCTGTAGCATGCGTTCTAAAGAGGGCAAGAACACCAATTGTGAATAGTTCTGGAATGTTTTCACAATTTTCTTTGACTTCTTTGGATCAAGTGTCTGAACAAGGGCAGCGCCATCAACAATTTTAACATGAACATGTGGTGTAGATTCTGATTTTGGTGCCAACGATTCCAAACATTCCATCAAATCAGACTTCTTCGATTTGTGCATGATGCGATTTGATGCTAGTGATGGAGGCCAGGCATGATTTGCATGCATGAAGAAGGCATCCATATCACTGTCTCGAGCTTGGCATGACATGTACATCCGTGAGAAGAGATTAGCAGCATCACACATGTTAGAGATTTTGGTGGCGGACTTGGTAGGCTTCTTTCCCAAACTAGCATTAAACAGAGGCAGTTTGTTTTTGTGAATTTTGTCATTGAATGATGTGCAATCAGCATTAATACGCTCTGCAACGAACTTCTGGTATTGTGTTTTGCGAATATTTTCTGCCGACTTTATTTCATTTACAACGATATCAGGCATTATTCGTTTGGTGTCAAGCGTATACAAATCTGTGCCAGTATCTGCAAAGGGGTTTCCTAGTTCCTCCATCACATCAGTGACGTTCTTGACTTGTGATATGAACGCCTTCTGTACACTTGGTATCTGTTCATGGTGGCGATCTGTGTCTTTTTTCATGTAGTGTTTTTCATAGTATCCAATCAAAAGCCTAGCTGTTTCTTGGCCCGTCACCATCCATCGTGTCAATGCGGCTTCATTCTCTGTGATACCTATAGCACCACCATGTCCGTTCATCATTGCATTCAGCTGTTCATGAACCTGGTCATGGGCTAGTGCTGAGAACTTGAGTGTAGATTTCTCTGAGTGACGAAGTTGCCTTTAAGGAACTCTGCATAGGTGTCTGGACTGTTAATCTCCAGGGCAAGAAGATTTTTGACATGAATTGTCATCCATCGTGAATAGTGGAAGTTGTCAAGGGTAAACATCCATGGAATAATTTTTCCAAGAGAATCCAGGTAGGACATAAAATTTGGTTGACGCTGTGATCTAAGGAACTGTAGGAGTAGGCATTCCAACTGCCAGACTTTAAACCAGTAATCAAACATCATAGCATAGTTGTCGTTTTTCTGGTGTGTTCTTTTAATATTCACCATATGAACTCTGAAGCAGGATGAACAGAGCTGCTGCTGTTATTTGATGAGCCCACTGACCTCTGGAAGTGTATGAACCTTTCTGCAGACTAACGGCACGCCCCTCAGTTGTAACATTGGCTTGAGTCATTACATAAATCCAGCCACTTCCGTCAAGCCAGTCGCCAATGACTTTCAACAGAGCCATTTCAATGTGAAGTCTTTCCCCATACTTTTCAGGCAATTTCCGTTGAATTCTTTTGGCAATTGAACTACGGAGGTGTTTTTTTATGCGGTGATTCGGTCATGTCCATACAAGCTTTTTCTTGCAGCTTCCTGGCTCTATCGACACTTCATGCACGCTTCCTGTTTCTGAAAAATAGAAAGATACATTGTTAAATGTATTTCTATTGAATACATAGTCATTTTACTACCTGATCGATTCGCCATTTGTTTTGATAAACATTTGAAGGAAAACTGTATAAGTCTTGACATGTGTTTTATTAGATTCCTCGACCTCAAAAACATAGGTATAGACATCAAGATCCTTGACATTTTTAAAACATAAAAAATAAACAGTTAATGTAACAATTTATATATCAATAGTTTTACATACACTCAGCAATGTTTTCAATCACTCGCAATTTTAAAGTCTGTATAACGCCATGGTTTCATGCTCTATCCCTTTAACAGTCCATATACCGCAATAGTTTCAAACAATTTCCCTCTATCAGCACCGCAATGGTTTCAAACACTCGCCCGTTAACAGTCTATCAGCCGTCATGATTTCACAAAATACTTCTGGTTTTTGTGTTAATACTCTGTTTTTTTGTTTTTTTTAATTGTCATCAGTTCACTGACCTAGGTAAACGTTTTTGTGATTCTGAGATCTCTACGTATGAAGTGTCACTCTGAAGTTTTGGTTACATCTAATAAAGGTAGTCAAATAGTCAGGGAAACATCACAAACAAGCTTTATTGATAACACCTTAAGTCATCGAAACAGTTAGTCGAGGATGATTGTGTTCACCTTACCCTGTCAAACATTTACTGCTATAAACTGTTTACTGCCTGCTTAGACCATGTAATATTGTACAGATTATATAAGGAAACAAAAAATGTTTAAGAGTACTGAACATGTTTATACTTTATGAGAAAATTCGTAGGACTGAAAAGAGCCATGCATAAAAACCAAAGGAAATAGTCTGTGTACGAAATCTGTAAAGAAACAAAACTAAAATAATCTATATCGTTTAAGGTGGTTTAATTTCTGTACAAAACACGGATTTAAACGGAGAGCGGAGTAGAGCGGGGTACGGCGAAGTGTTCTAAACTAAATTATGCATGCAAACGTTTAGCAAACAGTATGGTTCATTCATATAATCAACCAAAAGAAATTTGGAACTTTGTATCATTACGCCTTTGCTAAGACTTGTAATCAAGATCTTTCAGAACAAGTTTGACAATGATAACCCAGTTAATCACCAGCTTGCACGCTTCAAATTTCATTTCAAGTTAAGTCACGTTTAGCTGCACTCCAGATATTGTCATTTACAGTGTTTCTCTCTGAGATTTTTAAAGTGGAGTTACACATGAGTATTATTTTGGTCCTACCTTTTCGGTGTAAACAAAATAATTAAAATACCTATGCTTAAAATTACAATAAGTCTGGAAAGAAAATTAAACTAACCATAACTTAATCGTCTGGCCAACATATTATCAGTATACAACTTCATATTAAATTGCATCTCTGTATCTGTAAATGTTAAAGAGTCTATGAGCTGAAACTGAATTATGACAGAATGACGACCATGTTAACACTATATTGCCCCGACTATGCATGTGAATAGATTGGACATCCTTAACAGTATAACGATATTTAGAGTAGATATTCTCACCATTTCCATTTAATCTGATAATCACTTAATTATTTGATGAAGAGTGGCATATACTATGATGAAAACAATGCTGGATTATGAAATGGTTGAAAAATCCGTCATAGAGAATTACCTAAATAGTAGGGAATCCTGCCTTAAACTCAGCTAATCAAATGCTTAGCAGTGGGACGTTTTATACCTAAAACTAAGGATAAATATTCCAGTCAAAGATAACAAGAGAGGTCTTTTTTAGTCGTTTTATGATGTTATCATTGCTTAAACAGCAAGTAAAGAGAAATATAATTCTACTTCCATGTCCGTTAAATAGTACAAGACATACACTAAGGTGGGGAACAGTTGGTATCAGACGATAGAGCCTTGAAATCATATCAATGTATGATATTTGTCAGATGAGAACTGATATACGTCAGGAATCAATCGGGTAGCATTTTTATTTGAAATATTCACTGTAAATATTATTCAGACTACACAGAAAATTGTTATATGCCTTCTTAACTTTATTTGCCTAGTTAGCTTAACGCATTCACAACCTTATTTGCCAGATTAGGTATTATCAGCATTATACAGTAGGGTAGGATGCCGTCACAAAGTCAATGTTCAATTATTCTCTGTGGCCAGTCGTTCAAAGCCTTTCTATGTGAACTAATCATTCTAATGATAGTGCAGTAGCGTAGTTTATACATGTACGCAGATTAATGGAAGGAGCTTCAAAAACTGGTTATATCAATTCCACAACTAATATGGAAATATTGCAAGGCCCTGTACCAGTAGCTTAAACGTTGATAAACTAAACTGAAATACATTGTATATCAGGGTCCTGTCCCCAAAGCGTACTAAGATTAACAGACTTTATCCTCTCAAAAGTTAACCGGACTCCCAAAACACTATACAGTTTATTTAAACCATGCCTTAAATGAATCCAGTTGTGCGTGACGTACACAATGCAGATGAATACGTGATCTATTATTTTCGATATGTATCACTTTCTTAGGTTGGTATTCACCGAGAAAACAGGTTGCTCATTTAAAACTACGATTTAATGCTACGTTTGTACAAGTGTCCAGATTTAGCACAGGGAAAGGGATAGGATTATTGTGCATTTTGTTCAGTAAAACATGTGTTAACATTTACATTTCATATTTCATATATATTTGGATAACAATCCCTTTCAATTAGCGCTTGAAAGGTTTTCAAAATAGGTTGGCTCTTGTTTTCTAATATGATCATGTCTAGACATGAAAATTTAAGGAAATCTAAATAGGAAAGTTAACATGAAAATGTCCCTTCCCATAAGCTGCATTTGTGTCTTTAATTTTGACAGTCCGAAAATGAGACGCAGTATTCCAAGGATAAAATAATCTCGATACAAATAAGGAAATGTAGTTTTTGGATAAATAGATAATAGTAGATTAACTTAAATCTGGTTTTTAATTTTTCAACTGTTTTCTTAATAAGGTAAGGCAGTAAGTAATAAACCATTCTCGAAAAAGCGTGGAAAGTAAGTCATTGCTCCTCTAGGGCCAAGATATTTGCACAGCCAAAGTTTCCAAAGTATGCACTGTTCAAATCAAATCATTCTTTAGATTCTTTAAATTAACTCTGAAACACTTAATGTGGTCGTATTTTGGCATGATCAATAAGCAATGTTTGAGATATGTTAAAATAAGAAAGATAAATCTGATAGAAATCGATACTAAAGCATTGAGTGTTTCTTTTATGCCTTAATCAGTGCAATAATCATACACTCACAAGTTAGCAAATACTACGCTCTTTTAACGCTTTGTTTTTCCCGCACTGCATCTGTTGTCCGCCTGATGATCCTCATTTACGTTATCTTCTTGTGGTGAATCATCCGCCGTCTTCCATCTTGTCAACGAATGTTATCGACATGCGCATACGTCTCTGAAAGTCCCTTGTGGCTATATTTTGGTACTCGAGTTGGAGATTGTTTTAACATTCCGGAGGGTGGATATCATGTTTCAACAATGTGGAAATGCTAAGATAAGACCAAATCAGGAAAATATACACAGTCGTATAAGTTTTACTTCACTGAAAAATTCCACTATGAACAACTTGTCCAAATGTTCTGGTGACGCAATAATATGCTATTAACTTTCGCGCATTTGACTTGAATAGTTTTCTCAAATCCCACACCAAAGATCTGAATATCTCCCTCAAAAAATTTATATCTTATACATTCTTATATCATTGCAATATACATGTATGTCATAGAAAAATGAACATATTGACTGATGTGACCATTTGTTGTGTTTTGTATAAACCTTGTCAACTGACAGTAGTTAAAAAGTCAAGCGAATACAGGTATGTTCAGTTATTTTATCAGTGAGTAAACTACTATGGTACCACAAGCTCCCCCTATAACGAGCAGCCCATCTTGGTGATAGTCTAGACACGTCGGCTCTTTGATTTCTGGCACAGTAGACCACTTTTCCAGTAATTCCTCACCGTCTTTGAGGATATGTACCTCAGTAGATTGCTTGTCCAACAGGATGACGTTATTATCCTGCATGCAGTGTGCGTGAGGAAGCCTCGATTTTGTCGCATGCTTGATCTCTCCTAATTTAAATCCTTTGTGATTTAACATTAGAATTGACGATTTCTGTGTGTCTGATATCAGGATTGTTTTCTTATTGCTAGACACGGCAGGAGGAATGACGACATTTACAAACGGAAAATCCTTTTCGTAGTGCAATCCCAATGCATTATACATTCTCACTGTAGTTATGTCGTTTCTAAAAAGAAGGAAATGTGATAAGGATGCTGCAATACGACAGAATGCTCCTGTTGGGAATGACAGTATTCCTTTTTGGACGTCGTTTTCGACAATCATAACTTTACTTCTGTTGGATATTGCAATTCTATTACCACAAACTGCAATGTTCGTGGGTTTGTCCACTTTAAAAGACCAACTTAAAAGTCCGAGTTTTGAAAATACTAGGAGATTTCCATTAGCGCTATCACATACGGCAATTTCCTGATTATTAAGCCAAGCTACATCTATTGGTAGCACTGGTTTTAATTTTGACATGCAACTGAACTTATGTGAAAGCTTGAACATTTGGCTGTGATAAGTTGGGGCTTTCGTGGTATCAAACTTGGCCTTGACCTCTTCTGTAGGTTTAGTCGTGTTATGTTTTGCTCTGCTATCTGTTTTCGTTGTCACCAGTTTATCACAGTTGGCGACTGCATTCGCCGATCCGTCTACATCAGCTCCATGTAGGTGTGGCGTTGTAGCATTGGCACTGACATTGGTAGATTCAGATTGGCCTTTGTTATGAATGTCATCACAATTGTGAACAGGACTTTCACGTAACGTACATGGTGTTTTCACGCATTTTACAACTTCCTCTCTGATATATCTGTTAACTTCTTCAGGCATTGAAACGCTTGCAATGTCCCATGTCAACTCTGACAGTATATCTTCCTGCTGTTGATATTTTGAAAGTCCATCTTTCAATGTATCTTGAAAATACAGTATTTCCTCGTCGCGCCCCTCTGCTAAGAGTTCCTTACAAAACTGAAATGGCCTCTCTAAGATATCAATTTGTTTTCCAATCTCATTTTTTCGTGTGGATAACGTTTTTTTGGATTCTTCAGAAACCTTTCGGATTTCGGCTTTAGCCTTTTGTATTGTTTTATCAACTGTTTCCTTTAGTGATAATCCATAATCCTTCAGTGAAGATATGTTTGAGACTTCATCTTGCTCTACTGTTGACAGTGCATCAACAAAATACACCCGTTTTGCAACGAGCGACTCAATTTGCTTTTCTGTTGCTCTAAGAAGTACTTCTATTTCTTCTCTCTTTGTCGTAATAGCGGCCCCAGTAGTAAGGCATACATGCTTTTTGTGCTCCAATAAAATACAGTCACGACAAACTGTAGATGAACATGTTTCACAGTAAAATTTTAGAATTTCATCTTTATGCTTCTCACATTGCAATCTGTATGTGTTTCGTAGTTCTTTGTCGTATGTTCCTGACACTAACTCTACAACCGAAATGATATGATGAGTAAAAGTGATACGGGTTCCCAAATGATTGTCTTTACATTTATTACACAGAAAATCGCTACATTCAATACACATCCAATATGCTTTCTCATTTACATTTTTCAGAAGACAAAACGAACACTTTTTTACAGCAGTGGTTTTTGTCCTAACAACTTCTGTCAAACTGTTAATATAAAAGTTGGATTTGAGATTTTCTGCATTCTCATCAGGAAGTGTAAAGATATCTCTGCATGTCGGACATCTTGCGTTGACGCCATTTTTGCTTTTGTTGAAGTGTTGTGTTATACATTCCAAACAAAACGTATGAAGGCATGGCAGAATCTTCGGCTTTGTAAACAATACAAGACATATGGAACATGTCAATAACGTCTCCTTTATCACTGTAGATAGATTATCCATTCTTTTCTCCATATATGTGCACCTATAAAAAATAATTACAAATTCATACTTCCTTTGACAAAAATCAGTAATACCAACATGTCAACACAATCATAATCCAAGCTCAAATTCAAGAAACTTAGGAAGGCAAAATTGAACTAAAGAAAGGCATACACAAATACTCCTAAGAAAAGGTACAAGGAGAATAAAACCAGGTGTTCCAGAAGAGACAGTGTCTTCAGCTTTATCGACGACACCCGCCATTCAAATCCTGGTCAATTCAAGAAAGTAATGCCACGTTCTCAAATGGGAACGAGGTGTACACTGAAATTGTAAGGACGTCATTTATACAAGATACAAGAAAATGTATATAACATCTTGTACATACTTTTAAAGGGCTATTATCTGGTGCGATATATTACTGCGAGGTATAATTGTAACATCTTCTTGCGCTAGGCCAATATTTATAATGATACTGTTGTAAAACTACTGATAACCCTAACCTTTTAATACATTTGCAAAGAAAGGCGTAGCCTGCCACTAACACGGAATACGAATGAATATGGACAGATACTCCGATTTACTGTGTTAAATCAACCTAAACATTCTAAACCTTTAGTCGTTATTGCTGATAGGACAATTGTTTTTTTCAAAACCTGCCTAGCGTGACTTCTACTTTTAACATGAGTGCGACATGATGTAAAACGTATTGCTAATTTTATATGAATTGCAGAACAATATGTTTTTGATATCGATGATTTAAACAAAGGTCTATATAAAACAAATCAGTCATATTAGGAACAGACTGAAGAGATATCATTCATGAGTATGCAACTATTAAACTAACCTCACATAAAAATTATGATCTTATTATTCTGACTGGCAAGTTGTAATAACAGATTATTTTTAATATAAGCGTACGGTTGTTGAAATAAACATTTTTATACAATTTGAATACACCATGGATTTAAATCCACGCAGATGTTATTTCAGATGGATGCACTAATTTATGCATCGACTTGTTTTGAATGCAGATGTCAGTCCATACTTAAATGGGCGTTAGTATCAACCAGGAAGAAAAGAAACATATGTATATTTACCTCAGTAAAAATACGTCTATTAGTGGTGTGTCTTATGCCTGTGTCCAAACATATTGAACTGCTCAGTTCTCGTATTTTATGTTATACAAAGTTTTATGGTCAGTAATAACGACTGTTGTCTTTAGTAGCCAAGTGTTTGTTGCGATTTGTTATCTAGCATACATTTTATCATTGTGTGACAAGAGACTCGATTAGATAAGAAAATTCGATTACTTTTAATGATATTTATATATATAACGTCAATTTAAATACTTATTTGCATGTCTTGTTCAGCTGGCGAATCATCGTCAAATATAGGTGTGTCCTATATGTTATCTCTCATTTAATTATTCTGTTTTCATAGATATAGAGGGGAACAGAACTGTGGTTGTTTATTGTTTAATCGAACAAAGTTAAACAAGACAGAGAGTATCAAAAACATCACACATCTGTCAAAGTTAACCAGTAACTATAACATATAACACCGGACAAAGTCTCCAAAGACAGAGAATAGTAACTGTAACATAAAACATTGGGCAAATCTCGCGAGACAGAGAATACTTACCGTTACATAAAACATCGGACAAAGTCACACAAGACAGAGAATAGTTGTCATACCACTAAACATAGTACAAAGACGTGCAAGACCGATAATAGTAACCGTCACATCAAACAATGGACGCATGCTTCGTTGAATTTGCTTTGTGAAGATAGTTAATCAGTGCAAATAAAAAATCTATGAAAAAAAAGAAAGTTTAAAAAAGACGTTAGTTAAATGGTGCACGATAAAATGTATTACGACCGAATTTCACACATAATTTTTTTTTTTTTTTTTTTAATATGAAGTACAAAGTCAATTATTCCCCTCTTAACCTGTAACACTGCTTTTTAACTGTTGTATATACGTAGCAATAAAGCATTTACTACTAATGACTTCCACATCGTACCCTCTCAGATTTAACCCTATGTGTAAGGAATGTTTATATGTTACGGTCCTAGTAGAACAGTTACGAGATACAGTTTCCTTTGTTATTTTGTCCTACTGATCTAATCATAAATTTGTATTAAAATAAGTTTTTCACGTGTATAGTTATATTTATCTTGTTAGAAGTTCTGCTACCTTGTACTATTAAGCGTTGCGCACATATGTAAGTATTGACTTATCTTATCGGACAAGGCTGATTTCCTGTAAACATTTAACGATTAATATTTATCAAAACCACATGTACAATGATTACTCTAAAACATTCTACTGTACTTCATAGCACAAGACGCGACTTATTCGATTATATTATATATTGTCAATCTTTGACAAAATGCCAAATGTTTAGGATTTAAAAAGCGTTCCAACCAAAACCAAAATATATTTATGCACTACTGATCAAAGGTGAGATTTCTACATGCTTAAGCTCGATGCAATGCTGAAAAGTGATACTGCTGAGAAAACACACCTATAATAATGAGACAACATATTGCATAATCAAGTATAGCAGGAAGTTACTTTATCCTATGACGAGTCTTTAAAATTTACATGTTCCTAAAATTTTTATCTGTGTTCTTTGTGAGAGAAGTAAACATGCCTTTTAAATAAATCATGCCAAAACTTACCGCAATTAATCATCAATGTCAGGCAATGTCTTTTGAATATATGCCTATAGTGACACATCCACTGTAAGCTGAATACGTTAGCCTGGCGTATAGATAGGTTATCATTTCTGAAAACTGTGCATGTTACTCATCGGACGCACGGATCACTCTGCTTTTACTTTTAACAACTAATCGTAAGGGACTCTATGGGTAGGTATTTGTAGAAATATGATCTAGTCATTGATAAAAGCAATGCAACGGATGAATGGCACATTGGAACTTTAAATGTTTCCCTACAAAATATTAGTATGAAAATTGCATGTATGCAGAGAATAAGCAACCACTAACGAGAAAAAAAAATTTCGCTGAATTTTCGTCTGATTACCCTCTGGAAGGTGAACTTTAAATGATGGGACAAAGTTATTCACCTAATTATCAATCTCAAACGATATTTTCCATCCATTAAAAAGACAAGGTTGGTGAATTATCTGCTGAGAATGTTGAAAACAGGATTATTTACTGTACTGTATTATCCATTAAAAAGACAAGGGGTTCGTTATAAATTACGAGCGATGGAGACCGGGTTCTCAAGTGCGAATGATATATCTAGATTATCGTAATATAAATAACGACAAAGAGTGTTTTAGAAAATACCAATGATGCAAAATTGGAAACTATGTCGTTGAAATGCTTCGCCATTCTAGAACTTCGTTGAGGAATTGTAATGTGTAATATGAAGAAAATGCCGATAAATCTGCTCCCGATTTATCCGAACGTCAACATCTTTTTCTCATTTATACCAACATATACCCGTAAGATGTCAATATCATTTTCAATATCGATAACATGAAAATCGTTGGCTGATATGTATCTCCAAATTTATAACAACCTATAAAGTAATTATTGATAGAAAACAAATATCATATCTATAATTCATACCCGTTAGATGTAGCAACGATAACACAATCATGAGACTGATTGCGAAACACACCGACTTGGTGAATAGTCCTCGTGGAGTTCAAGCTAAGCCGCGTTTGACTGATATGTATTTGATAGCACATGTCTAAATAGGTTATACAAATCTCAACGATAAATAACTATAGTCCTTATTCAATAGTGGTTAATACGACTATATATAAAAGCCTGTGTGTTCTGGTCTCTTTAGTATGATATCATCTTGATTTGACGATCTGGACGTTTAAATGTAGACGGTATTGTTATCAGCATTGAATATATGTGTGTTTGTATGACAGGTTGGTGAGTACAACAGAAAATATCAAGATGGATTCCGAAAGCGTCGACAGTGAACTGGTTTGTTCTATTTGTAATGACGTGCTTAAAAACCCGAAGATACTGTCCTGTCTACACACATTCTGCTACGACTGTTTAGAAAGGGAAAATCCAAAAACAGGTTTATCGCAAATGTACGTGTGTAAAATATGTAATGGTTTGGAAGAACGTGCAGTTTCTGAACTTAGAACAAACACATACTTGAAGTACCTCGTAAAGCTACACAATATGAAAATTCAGCACAACAATTGTATCGTATGTTCCTACAAAGGTACAACAGAAATGGCAACTCATTACTGTGTGCAATGCAGTGATATGTTGTGTGACAAGTGTTCCAAACGGCATACCTTTACTAGACTGACACGTAACCATCACGTGGTCACATTGACCGATGTCCGAGATGGGCAATATGACAACGATATTTGTGAAAGGCTTTCAAGGTACTGTAGTGTTCATACGGATATATCCCTACACTACTTTTGTAATTCATGCTCTCTTACAACCTGTGAGGATTGTTTACTTAGTCATAGTACACATGACATTATTACAATGAACAGCCCATCAGTGGCCACCAGAATCTCCCGTGTCCATGAATTATTGGACGATGTAAAAAGTCGCCGAAATGCAGCGTTATATTTACAACATCACATTCATGAAGGAATCGCAGAAATCGAGAGAACAGAAAATGAATTACAGCAGACAGTTCTTGATAAATGTCGTGCAGTTAAAATGTTAGTGACAAAAACAGCAGAAGATGACAAACGCAAAATGACAGCACAGTTTTCAAAATCAAAGAAAACACTTTTGATATACCAATGTGAGGCAGCAAAATACGTAAGTGAATTCAACCCTGCAATGACATTATGTTGTAAGCTCTTATCAAAACCAACGGATATAAATACTATTTCGCTTGAAGATTTGCTTATGCAAAAAATGACGTTTTTAAAAGAAATCGACGTACCACGTCTGCGATGGGAACCGATCACTCATTATGAAGAGCTAGAAAAACTGTTGGACTATGACTTTCATATCAGATTACGTATTCCGATGTTATTACATATAAATAAAGAAATAAACGGGGAAGAGGTAGCAAGTCAAACAGCCTTCAAGAAGGAGACAACATGCAAAGGAACGGAATTATCTCCTGCATTTAATACGTACAAAGTCGTACATGTGTTTTCAGTGAGGACGTGTTCAGATTTCCGGCCTCCAAATGTGAGGGATGTAGCTTGGGTTTCTAGTGAGTCATTCGTTGTCAGCGATAAATGGAACGATAAATTCTCAATTTTCGACACCAAAGGACAAATGCTCTGGAGTATACCGATATCATCGCCATTAAATGTAGCGTGTATCGACGGTATCATTTTATGCTCCGCTCAAAATCATATTTATTTTTACAAGGAGAAAAGGCTACTCTCAAAAATAAAGATCCAACATGAAGGGACCCCTCGTGTGACAAATACATGTCATAGTCGCTTCCTAGTAGCCACGCCATACGCTAAATCCCGTCTGACAGTATACGACACAAAAGGAAACAAAATCAGCGAAGTCGGCACTAATGATGAAGAAGTTCGTATTTTTACTATATCTAGTAATGAGGATTGTCATATCGTGTCGGATTGGAAACGAGGGGCGTTAATCTTTCTCGATAAGATTACGGGTAAAGTAGTCCGTCGCTGTCTACTGTCGCGTGAGACAAACAGGAGATGTGTACACCCAGGGGTACACTGCACTGATAACAAATCTGTATTAGTCACACACTATCATAACAGCGAGATACAAGTGTTTTCTAAAACTGGAGAATATATCCGCAGCTGGTCACTGAGTCCGTCAATAGTTCATCCGGTTGCTTTGTCTTATCATAGTAGTGGGCGCCTTTTAGTTGGAGGAATGGACAGAGTGGCAATGTTTGCCCATTTGTGAAAGGTTATTTCTAATGAGAATAAAAGAAGTCAAGAAAAAAATGGTAAATAAGAATTATTAAACTTTAATCAAATGTCACGTGTTATTAAATTAGATTAAACCAAAAAAGCTGTAAATTAATAAACGTATTTTAAGTAGAATAACAAACTTTATTTATAATAATAATAATCTTTATTTATTCTACAACAATTACGAAGCAAGTTTTTCCAACTTATATAAATTACTCTTGTTGGCTCAGGTGGAAGCGCGCGAGCCATCTTACAGTTATATGAATTATGTACTGCATTTTAATACAATTTGATAATTTCCCTGTGGTAGATAACGATTGTTTTCATCGCCTGTTGTTATGAAACTGATGTATAACAATAAATCAATACTTGGGGAGGTAAAAAAGCAACCGAAGCATTTTATCTTGTTTGTGGGGATTTCTTTGGGATTAATACTGGTGATGTAACCACGGAATAATTTTCACACTCTCTCATGAAGTATGAACTTCCCATGTTCAACTTCAATGTCTACCATCTGTATTTTATCAATTTTGTCACCTTACATGATGCTAACTCATACTGCTGATTACATCAATGTTATAAGGTGTTGCTACATAAAGCGGTACAAGGGAGATAACGGTTACATATACATGTATAACTTTAGTACTAATACATAGTTTGTAATAAGTGGTTTCCAAACACAAAACACATTATTTCTTATATAGCTTTAACTTGCTGCGTGGTTCATTTTAATGGTTTTTGCCCACTTGTTTCTGAAGAGCTTATCAAAATACTCACACCACCTTGGCGAGTCACTCTCATATATATTGACGATGCTTTGTATTTAAATGCAAAAAATATCCTTGACCATGGTCGTCGCATATTTCCACCAGAATTAAAGAATAAGCCATGATGGGCTCCTCTTCATCAGCCGCCTACCCCAGTCTTTTCATACACCAAACCAATAGGGAAAGCTTTCCACTAAGGTAAATGATAAGTGCGGTGATTTCGATTTGCTACTTTTGATACTCGATTCATGACGTTATTCTAATCTTTTCAGCGTGATTGAATAACCCCATTGAACTTTCATATTAATATAGTTAGTTACAATATCAATTATTTAATATCATGCTCGTTATATCGACTGCGTTTATTGAATCATAACTACAGTTTATCCTGAAGGCCAAACCACTTGATCATATGCTCGTAAGATAACTCTGCTTCTTACCCATAAAAAGTTACAACAATGCTGCTAATCTCACAGCATGAAGACTCTGTAACAATGCAATTACATAACGACATTGATAGAAACATTCGATATCCGTCTTATGTTTCAATATACAGTGATGTCCTATCATCCTCTTCCTTACATCTTATATAAACTAACCGTTACTTGCCAAGAACGTGAAAACTTTTGATCGGCGTTGTCCTAGAATGTTGGTTCTTCTAAAATATCTTTCGAATATGAGTTTATTTTATGGGGGCCATGATTGCGAAACTTGGAAAAAAACCTGGCAGCTTTATCATAGGAATATTCATAGGGAAATATTTCGACGGACCGTCTCTCCTCTCAAACAAAACACAAATCAGAAGTGCATTCATTCTAAGCAGTGAATTAACAGCCAGGAACAACAAAGTTGCAGTATTAGAATGTTTACTTAAATACAAACCACACTAAGTAAATAGTTTATATACTTATTTGATAATAAAATACCAGATCAAAGAGTTTATGTCATTAAATGTCTCGGTCCTGAATTATCAGCGTTTTTTCATTAACCTTAAAGGTTACAAAAACGCCGGCCCTTAACTGTGATGTGACATGACAACGAAAATGCAATGTCGATATTTTCAAACCTCGGAGCTGTATTTACTATGGACGGATAGTGCATTGCATAAAGGATATTGTTCACTGTTAGTTATTTGCTGGCTGATACAATTCGCAAGTAAACTGATTACATTTCCAGGCAAATACACATGTCAACATAAATCCACGGCAATCATCTACGTGGAAACATCGGTTAGCACAATCGGTTTCCTGTGACACTTGGGTAGTAGCTATGCGTGTCAAGTGTTTCGGAACCTCCTCGAGCTTTGGTGGCCAAACGCGCTCAAACAGCATTCTTTCGGGATCCTCAGATCTGTACATGTTGACGTAGCTGGAGTTGAAAACTTCACTGACAACGTATGCCATTTGAAGAGCTAGAAAAATCAGAGAACAGAACTAATGCAGCATTTTCAACTTCAGGCTCTAAGTGAATGAAACATGGAAAATGATTTTGATGAATACATTTCTATTTATCACCAGGTATTGTGAAACTGTAACAACATATATCGCATACAGAGTAATACACATGTATGTCATATTGTATCTATTAACATGAAAATTGATCTCTAGAACAAACTAACGTATTTCTAGTTACAACATGTTGGAACAGAAACTAGATATGTCGGTACGCCACGAATGTCCCCGCCGTCAATAAAGCTTTTCAAATATCTATTTCTAAAGGGACATTACATTTAATATACATACAAAAGAAACATAATTATGTTTACCTCAAATTAGAATTTAAATCACAACTGCATAATGGTCAGAGGTGCAATATGAACATGTACACGATGTGGTCTTTCTTTGTACAACGTTTAATTAAAATCCTCCTAAGGTTGAGAGGAGTGGCGACGACAAAGTAAAGGAAGACAGACGAAATGATGGAATGACCGAAATGACAGAAAGGTACAATAGTTTATGATACTGGCCATGTATGGCGGGGCATGAAAAGACAGATAATGCCGATCTCTCAGGAAAATCACAATTCTCACTCAATAATTCGTAACGAAATAAATTTGCGACTATGTGAAATCTCCATTGTCTTGATTATGCGGCATTCACATTCTGTCACCAGTTTGTCCCACCAGTAGGTTGTCAACATCAAACACGATAATCGGTTTGTAGTGATTTTCATTTAGACTGTCTCAGTTTCACTGAGAAGGTACATGTACAGACTTGAAAGTTTATTGTGCCAATAAGATAGAGATGATAATTTGTACGACAGGAAACCGGAGAAACTCATTAACGTCCCCAAGCTTTTTATGTCGGGTAAATTTTCACCACGATACCATCGGAGATTCTAAATCTGTCAGGAAATAATACCAGTTATGATAACTCCTTAAATTTGCTCTGAAATTGCTCTAAATAGATATTCACTAGTGAAGTCAATATTGAATTCTTCAGGATATCTGGATGTGCTGCTTATCATGTACTGACACTTACATTTTTTGCATATGAATGCGGACATGCGTTCTTCACAATCCCAAACTTTTCGTTCGCCATTTCCCGCGATAGTCCCACATAACGGTATGGTAGTCTCGGGCATATCTACGAGTACAGTAAATGGCGAAGTAAGTTGATAATTGGTAAGTTGACAGATGGTATACTTTTCTAATGACGTTTTGCTTCCTACACATACAATTCATACAACAAAGTGTATTAACAGTCATTCAAGTGCATATTAACATATGATTATGCTACTAAATAATGAAAGTAAGAATATAAAAGAAATTTGAAATACAATTATAGTTGATCAATTATCGCGTTACAAAAACTGTGTTACCTTTATCAAAATAGTCGGATAATGATCCATCGACCCAGTCATAACGCTGTTTCCTGTCCTCTGGATCGAAAGTGAAACCAACCCACGACAAATGAGTTCTGTCTGTTCCCTAAAGGAATAACTACAAAGTATGTGACAGCCGTACCTAGTCTCATAAATTAGGGCTTACAATACACCATTATACTTAGGATACATATGAACCACAAGTACTTCTTACATATACACATTGCTTTCAAGCGTTTTACTGAACAAGTAGTTGACAAGACATATTTAAATGTCGCAAGAACATCGCCATATTAAGTACGTTACTACATTTGGTTTTCATCATTACGAAATTACATACGTGATACTACAAAGCATCTGTATATTCTTTGACCTATTGTAGACTGCTAACGTACATTTCGCAAATGTATTATCTATAGTTTCATTTTTGCCATTAATCCATTCCTCGATTAAATATAAGTTGCCATTTCAACATTTCATCATTCATGATACATATATTTATATTTCTAACCCTGCTCGAGTCGTGAGAAGATATTTTTTCCACCAGTGCATATTATTCAACACGTACTTGCCAAAGTTTATTAAGAATGAAGTCCTCCTCAGCATAGTTCCATATGCTGACCAATTGTGCATCCTTCGAGCCACATATCTCCCTAGCGGTTACAAACTGGACAGGATGGACGTTAAATTGATAACAGAAACGCTTGTGATTTGTCCAGCCCAATGCGCACCCCTCTTTTGTCATACTCATACCTTTAATAGAAAAAACACAAGGAAATGAACGACCTGTCAACATATTCTTAATCAAAACTCAAATTCAATCAAACTTAAGAAAATTATGAACCAAAGTAACATTTACACGGAGACTTCTGAAACGTACAAGGAGAATAAGACCAGGGCCCGTATTCATGAAACCAGTTTCATGCTGAAGCATAGATTTTGTGCTTAAGCAGACTTTTTCATAATTCACCTAAATCATATAAAATAATACAAATGTCAAATATAAACATTGAATATAACTTTGACTTGAAGTCCTTTCAAAATTTGTTTAAAATCTTTGGCAAAATCAGTCTTATTTATTAATTTTTAACTTAAACAAGACATAAGGCTTGAGCACGAGATCGGTTTCATGAATACTGGTGTTCTGGAGCGAGCAGCAAACACAAGCAGTTTCATATCCACAAAGTATAGAATATTTCTCAATGAGATTAATATGACTAGCATAAACCTTTCCCATAATTTTCATTATCAACCTCCATCTTTAGAAACCCTCTGTTGCCAGTTTGTCCGTCAGGAAACAACTTCTTCCATGAAAATCATGATGACGGGAATGGGCCCTTGAACGTCGTCACCAATATATATGCATGCAAAATTGAATTAATTTGTGATCTTTAATCTTCTTTCATTTGTTTACGAGTTTATTTGATATTGACTTTTTTAACTTCAGCATAAAAGATTTCTTTTTCGGAACTCTTAGTCTTGCATTCCTTGTGTTAGTTACTAATGAACGTCCTAGGGTAGTGTCCTGTAACTGCACCACTATTAAGTGAATATCTTATGTTCCAAGCGTATAGAACAAAGCAAAGTTATTCAACCAAATTCACTAATGCAATTCATCCAGCGTTTTCATGCTTGTCACCAAACAATTTGTAGCTGAGTGGAACCAAAAATTAGCCTCTTGTCAGAACATATATATTGATATTTACACGTCCATTTACTTTTATTTACGAATTTTAGCTGACAAATAGAAACCACTTTTATGCAATAGAGTTAAAAGGAAAAGCAATTCTAAGATAAAAAGAAAATTTCACAAATACTTCACTCACCTAGACAAGCTACGAGCCTGGCAAGAACAATGGCAATTTTAACAACAGTCTCCATCTCTCTGGTGCGTGTTACTGTTGGCTATATGTCTGTAGACGTTAATGTGATACTGCACTGTCTATGAGGCTGTAATGCCAGTTAAAACCAGCGTTACCATTACAGCCCACAGCTAACCCCAAATAAATAAATTTTGATGAGTGATGTTATTTGTGGCTGACGAAGCCTTGTTTAGAATCGATAATGATGAAGAATATTGCGGTTGAATTTGGCGTCTATTCCCGTCTCGTGCTCCCGGCACCTTTCTTATCTCTGTGCACACGCCCCGTACATAGTGGTCCTTGTGGTATGGACTATGTTTTAACTATGTTTGTATCGACTAGTCAATATGTACATTATTTTAACATGTTTATAAATCATTTGATAACTCAACAATTAGATTTAAACAGTTATACGTCAAAAACTTTTGGGGCATCATTCTGTTATCGTTCTGTTTGAATGTATGACTTTATCCCTTCACATTCGTTCTTTTTACTCAATTTAAGATATCAATTTTTGGTTTAAAGAAATTTTAAATTTTAATATATCTCTTTTGTGAACATGACGAAAGGGAAAGTGTTTTCATTGGTGTTTAATATCCTAAACGTTGTAAACTAAAGTCTAAAACCTTTATTGGCCCTCGTGTTTAAAATCTAAATATCATTGTGTCTGATGCATGTTAGTTGTTCACCGTTACTGTTTTACACTCTGTAAATTCATGTCTAGTGAATTTCATATTCCTTCGTCACCATTTTACGCTTATCAACCTTCAAAGGAAATGCACAGTTCCAGAGAACCCAGTAATTTCTCATGAAGACCATTATTAATCTGTTGATTTATGTGTGAATGAATGTACAAATTCTTAAATGATTCTGAACCCTTACTTCTTATATAGAGGAATAGTTTTGCTATAAATATGAGTTTAACATTTTTAAGTTTCTTGTTCAAGACACCATGCTGAAATATTTTATACAATACTGTTGAAATATTGTTAACGAATGAAAATCGAAACTTAGATTTGATAAATTTGAAAAGATACAACCTACAAGATTAACTCATGCAGTCAAGGAAGAGACAGCTCTGCTCAAATATGCTCCGTAAATGTTATTGAAAAAATTCGTTCAAAATGACCGCTTGTACATTTGCTGGCTTCCCGTCCTTGTGATAAAATCAAGATCCCCTGCTGACAGACACAATCTTCAATTTGATAAGTTCCAAATTACCTCAAACATGATGTTATAAAAGATATCACTTTATTAGTGTCATTGTTATTTATATGCTGTCTGAGATGTATAAAGCAATTGACTTCTTACCATCGATTGTTTCCATCCAGTCAATATTAACTATATATCATTGTTTGCAATGCTATTTCCAGTGTTCTTGTGAAATAACACTGCCTTATCCCGATTCTGAAATTGCTTTGTTGGTTACATATGTCGCTACTCTAACTACTCGTTCAGATCAGAACAAAACACGCTTTGTCTCCATGGCATATACAACACCTATCGGCTTCCCATTTACATCGAGTTATAAGTATGGTTACAAGCCGGTGTCAAAAACTGCGTCGTCCTATCATTTCTTCAAAATGGCCAGTGTTTAAACCAATTCAAATACTTTATGTTGACAACACCAATAAAAAGGAGGGCAATATAAAAAACAAGACAAATGTACACGTAGATTTTAGGGGGAAAATACCAGGTGTTCACTAGTGTAAGCGTCTTCTGCTTTATCAGCGACAGCCACCATACAGTTAGATTAGATCTCTGTTTCAAATTATAATAATAATATCTCGTCAGTTTGACATGGATTGCATAAGCCCGATTTGAGATTTTGATACCCACCATTATTAGACGTTCTCATCAAAATTCTTCCTTTTCATGAAAAACATTTTTTTTATGTCACACTTTTACAGCCTATTGTGCCAGACGAAACATTTAGTTGAGGCTTTCAACTGATACAAGTGAAGCTAAGTAAGTAAAATGTAATCTGTTTTTACTGTTTTACAGAACACAGCGAACTAATTCAGCACTTGTTGACATCCACAGCTCGTGTGTAGTTAGAAATAGATATCGCGATAAACCGACACCGGGCTGTGATTTCTTATTTCCCTCGGGAACGAAATAGACAAATATTGATAATCGATGATGAGGAATGAAACAGAATGATATGTCTTAATCAAAAGAGCGACAAGGGAGTGAAGTATTCCGGGAGAGCAGTCTATCGACTCCGGCTAATATTATAGAACCGGCACGATCAACACCGGAAAGGGTAGACATAAAACGTGTGACCCGAGACGTTACAGTCAAGGCAGGCGTAAGTCTTCTCCCTGAAGTATAATAAGTTGCAACTATAATGTTGATCTATGGAAATGTATACATATTTCTATTGTGTACAAAAAAAGTAATTTGAACATCAAATGTACGTATAGAAATAACATTCTAAATCTTTGTTGTAACATGTCTCATTAGCGTTCAGAAAAAATTAAGTTAGCTCCCGTGGACAGAAAACAACCAAGCTCTTTCAGAACTACATTGATGTTGGTAATCAAACGTCACTTTAAGGGAAACTCCTTCCCCAGCTCACAAATCAATATTTGGTGCTAATTCAGCGGATTTATTGTTCAAATGTTAACGGCCATTTTACGACCGCTCGTAACCGACATTTTTTTATTGTGATATTTACATGATTCCACATCATCCAGAAGTTTGACTGACGAACCACGTGGTGCTATCGCGAACATACAACCAGGTCTATCGATGACCAAGAAAATAATAGGACAATGGAAAATTCTATAAACATAGTCCACTGTGGTCTCTTCATGCAAATGTCGTAAAGATGCTTTTTCTCCCTTTATCAAGAGTGGATTTCTTCTGTGACTCGATGTTTCCCATTCTAGGAACACGATAATGCTTCCATGAAAAAGGACATAAAAAGAAATCCGTTTTACTTTTTCATTGTCTTATCATTATAGCTGACATAATTAATCAACATATGAAACATCCAAATAAACTTATTACAGAATTTCATCGGCTCTCCGAATATGTGATATATAAAACTTTTTTAAGATGGAAATTCGTGTAGACCTCCTAGTATTTCCCATTTTGTCTGTGAATCTCGATTTGGATTTTAAAAGTTGATTTTAAAGAGGAATTCCGCACAAGTTCGGATTTCATAGGATGCTTTTGATGAAAACTGTACACACTCATCTATTATGCTGTTATGGAACTCGAACCCATGTTATTTATAGGCTGAACAGAAAATGAAATATTTGTGTAAATTAGAAAATCAACAGAAAATAAGTCTAATGAAGAAATAAAATTGTAACCCTAGCAGAAACTTTAGTGAACAGCACACTTGTGTATTTACTCAATACTCTGCATGAAATTTGTGACCCAGTGACCTTCAGTTCCGGATTTCCCGATGAACTATATTTAGAAGGTTTGTCTGGGAATATTCCCACTAATTTGGCCTATCCAAACTGACCACGACAGAAGTATTTTGATACTAAAAATATTGTTAAAAGTCATTTGAAACAGTTCTTGAAAGGTATAGAACAGACAGAAATTGTTCAACTTGGGTAGAATAACTCTTTAACACAGTTGAGATTTATTCTTCGTTGACATGTTTTGGCTCCTAAACTGTATTTTGTTTATTTTTAATTTTTTTGTTCTTACACATTTCCTCAGCATGTAAGAATTCATTATTCATTTATTTATTTATGTCGTCAAATGTGTAAATACATTGCAAATTGCAACACAGGGGGAATAACTCTTATAAAAAAATATATAAAGTTACCAGACTATGAGAGTGCTGATATCGTGAATTTTAGCATGAACAGCTTTATACAATGTTGCACAGGCTGGAATACCAAATTGTCAGAACTTTAGGTCA